GTCCACGTCCACGTCCACGTCCACGTCCATGTCCACGTCCACGTCCACGTCCACGTCCATGTCCACGTCCACGTCCACGTCCACGTCCATGTCCACGTCCACGTCCACGTCCACGGTCCACGTCCCGGTCCACGTCCACGTCCACGTCCACGTCCACGTCCATGTCCACGTCCACGTCCACGTCCACGTCCATGTCCACGTCCATGTCCACCCACGTCCACGTCCATGTCCATTCCACGTCCACGTCCACGTCACGTCCACGTCCACGTCCACGTCCACGTCCATGTCCACGTCCACGTCCACGTCCATGTCCACGTCCACGTCCACGTCCACGTCCACGTCATGTCCACGTCCACGTCCACGTCCACGTCCACGTCCACGTCCACGTCCACGTCCACGTCCACGTCCACGTCCCGTCCACGTCCACGTCCACGTCCATGTCCACGTCCACGTCCACGTCCATGTCCACGTCCACGTCCACGTCCACGTCCACGTCCACGTCCACGTCCACGTCCACGTCCATGTCCACGTCCACGTCCACGTCCATGTCCACGTCCACGTCCACGTCCACGTCCACGTCCACGTCCACGTCCACGTCCACGTCCACGTCCACGTCCACGTCCATGTCCATGTCCACGTCCACGTCCACGTCCACGTCACGTCCACGTCCACGTCCACGTCCATGTCCACGTCCACGTCCACGTCCACGTCCAGTCCACGTCCACAGTCCACGTCCATGTCCACGTCCACGTCCACGTCCACGTCCACGTCCACGTCCACGTCCACGTCCACGTCCACGTCCACGTCCATGTCCACGTCCACGTCCACGTCCACGTCCATGTCCACGTCCACGTCCACGTCCACGTCCACGTCCACGTCCATGTCCACGTCCACGTCCACGTCCATGTCCACGTCCACGTCCACGTCCACGTCCATGTCCACGTCCACGTCCACGTCCACGTCCATGTCCACGTCCATGTCCACGTCCACGTCCACGTCCATCCACGTCCACGTCCACGTCCAGTCCATGTCCACGTCCACGTCCACGTCCACGTCCACGTCCACGTCCACGTCCACGTCCACGTCCACGTCCACGTCCACGTCCACGTCCACGTCCACGTCCACGTCCACGTCCACGTCCACGTCCACGTCAGTCCACGTCCACGTCCACGTCCACGTCCACGTCCACGTCCACGTCCACGTCCACCCACGTCCACGTCCACGTCCACGTCCACGTCCACGTCCATGTCCACGTCCACGTCCATGTCCACGTCCATGTCCACGTCCACGTCCACGTCCACGTCCACGTCCATGTCCACGTCCACGTCCACGTCCACGTCCATGTCCACGTCCACGTCCACGTCCATGTCCACGTCCACGTCCACGTCCACGTCCATGTCCACGTCCACGTCCACGTCCATGTCCACGTCCACGTCCACGTCCATGTCCACGTCCACGTCCACGTCCACGTCCATGTCCAGTCCACGTCCACGTCCACGTCCACGTCCACGTCCACGTCCACGTCCATGTCCACGTCCACGTCCACGTCCACGTCCACGTCCACGTCCATGTCCACGTCCACGTCCACGTCCACGTCCACGTCCACGTCCACGTCCAACGTCCACGTCCACGTCCACGTCCATGTCCACGTCCATGTCCACGTCCACGTCCACGTCCACGTCCACGTCCACGTCCACGTCCACGTCCACGTCCACGTCACGTCACGTCCACGTCCACGTCCACGTCCACGTCCATGTCCACGTCCACGTCCACGTCCATGTCCACGTCCGTCCACGTCCATGTCCACGTCCATGTCCACGTCCACGTCCACGTCCACGTCCACGTCCACGTCCACGTCCACGTCCACGTCACGTCCACGTCCACGTCCATGTCCACGTCCACGTCCACGTCCACGTCCACGTCCACGTCCATGTCCACGTCCACGTCCACGTCCACGTCCACGTCCACGTCCACGTCCACGTCCATGCACTCGTCCACGTCCACGTCCACGTCCATGTCCCACGTCCACGTCCACGTCCACGTCCATGTCCACGTCCACGTCCAGTCCACGTCATGTCCACGTCACGTCCACGTCCACGTCCACGTCCACGTCCACGTCCACGTCACGTCCACGTCCACGTCCATGTCCACGTCCACGTCCACGTCCACGTCCACGTCCACGTCCACGTCCATGTCCACGTCCACGTCCACGTCCACGTCCACGTCCACGTCCACGTCCACGTCCACGTCCACGTCCACGTCCAGTCCACGTCCATGTCCACGTCCACGTCCACGTCCACGTCCACGTCACGTCCACGTCCACGTCCACGTCCATGTCCACGTCCACGTCCACGTCCACGTCCACGTCCACGTCCACGTCCACGTCCACGTCCACGTCCACGTCCACGTCCACGTCCACGTCCATGTCCACGTCCATGTCCACGTCCACGTCCACGTCCACGTCCACGTCCATGTCCACGTCCACGTCCACGTCCACGTCCACGTCCACGTCCACGTCCACGTCCACGTCCATCCATGTCCACGTCCACGTCCACGTCCACGTCCATGTCCACGTCCACGTCCACGTCCACGTCCACGTCCATGTCCACGTCCACGTCCACGTCCACGTCCACGTCCACGTCCATGTCCACGTCCACGTCACGTCCACGTCCACGTCCACGTCCACGTCCATGTCCACGTCCACGTCCACGTCCATGTCCACGTCCACGTCCACGTCCACGTCCACGTCCATGTCCACGTCCATGTCCACGTCCACGTCCACGTCCACGTCCACGTCCACGTCCATGTCCACGTCCACGTCCATGTCCACGTCCACGTCCACGTCCACGTCCATGTCCACCGTCCACGTCCACGTCCACGTCCACGTCCACGTCCACGTCCACGTCCATGTCCACGTCCATGTCCACGTCCATGTCCACGTCCACGTCCACGTCCACGTCCACGTCCACGTCCACGTCCACGTCCACGTCCACGTCCACGTCCACGTCCATGTCCACGTCCACGTCCACGTCCATGTCCATGTCCACGTCACACGTCCACGTCCACGTCCACGTCCACGTCCACGTCCATGTCCACGTCCACGTCCACGTCCATGTCCACGTCCACGTCCACGTCCACGTCCACGTCCACGTCCATGTCCACGTCCACGTCCACGTCCACCACGTCCACGTCCACGTCCACGTCCACGTCCACGTCCATGTCCACGTCCACGTCCACGTCCATGTCCACGTCCACGTCCACGTCCACGTCCATGTCCACGTCCATGTCCACGTCCACGTCCACGTCCACGTCCACGTCCACTCCACGTCCACGTCCACGTCCATGTCCACGTCCACGTCCACGTCCACGTCCACGTCCACGTCCATGTCCACGTCCACGTCCACGTCCACGTCCACGTCCACGTCCATGTCCACGTCCATGTCCACGTCCACGTCCATGTCCACGTCCACGTCCATGTCCACGTCCATGTCCACGTCCACGTCCACGTCCACGTCCATGTCCACGTCCACGTCCACGTCCACGTCCACGTCCACGTCCACGTCCACGTCCACGTCCACGTCCATGTCCACGTCCATGTCCACGTCCACGTCCACGTCCACGTCCACGTCCACGTCCATGTCCACGTCCACGTCCACGTCCACGTCCATGTCCACGTCCACGTCCACGTCCACGTCCACGTCCATGTCCACGTCCACGTCCACGTCCATGTCCACGTCCACGTCCACGTCCACGTCCATGTCCACGTCCACGTCCACGTCCATGTCCACGTCCACGTCCACGTCCACGTCACGTCCACGTCCACGTCCACGTCCACGTCCACGTCCACGTCCACGTCCCGTCCACGTCCACGTCCACGTCCAGTCCACGTCCACGTCCAGTCCACGTCCACGTCCACGTCCCGTCCACGTCCACGTCCACGTCCACGTCCACGTCCACGTCCATGTCCACGTCCACGTCCACGTCCACGTCCATGTCCACGTCCATGTCCACGTCCATGTCCACGTCCACGTCCACGTCCACGTCCATGTCCACGTCCATGTCCACGTCCACGTCCACGTCCACGTCCATGTCCACGTCCACGTCCACGTCCATGTCCACGTCCACGTCCACGTCCACGTCCACGTCCACGTCCATGTCCACGTCCACGTCCACGTCCACGTCCACGCCCACGTCCACGTCCATGTCCACGTCCACGTCCACGTCCACGTCCACGTCCACGTCCACGTCCACGTCCACGTCCACGTCCACGTCCACGTCCACGTCCACGTCCACGTCCACGTCCACGTCCACGTCCACGTCCACGTCCACGTCACGTCCACGTCCACGTCCACGTCCACGTCCACGTCCACGTCCACGTCCACGTCCACGTCCACGTCCATGTCCACGTCCACGTCCACGTCCAGTCCACGTCCACGTCCATGTCCACGTCCACGTCCACGTCCACGTCCACGTCCACGTCCACGTCCATGTCCACGTCCACGTCCACGTCCACGTCCACGTCCACGTCCACGTCCACGTCCACGTCCACGTCCACGTCCACGTCCACGTCCACGTCCATGTCCACGTCCACGTCCACGTCCACGTCCACGTCCACGTCCACGTCCACGTCCACGTCCACGTCCACGTCCACGTCCATGTCCACGTCCACGTCCACGTCCACGTCCACGTCCACGTCCACGTCCATGTCCACGTCCACGTCCACGTCCACGTCCATGTCCACGTCCACGTCCACGTCCATGTCACGTCCACGTCCACGTCCATGTCCACGTCCACGTCCACGTCCACGTCCACGTCCACGTCCATGTCCACGTCCACGTCCACGTCCATGTCCACGTCCACGTCCACGTCCACGTCCACGTCCACGTCCACGTCCATGTCCACGTCCACGTCCACGTCCACGTCCATGTCCACGTCCACGTCCACGTCCACGTCCATGTCCACGTCCACGTCCACGTCCACGTCAACGTCCACGTCCACGTCCACGTCCACGTCCATGTCCACGTCCACGTCCACGTCCATGTCCACGTCCATGTCCACGTCCACGTCCATGTCCACGTCCACGTCCACGTCCATGTCCACGTCCACGTCCACGTCCACGTCCACGTCCAGTCCACGTCCACGTCCACGTCCACGTCCACGTCCACGTCCACGTCCACGTCCATGTCCACGTCCACGTCCACGTCCACGTCCACGTCCACGTCCACGTCCACGTCCACGTCCACGTCCACGTCCATGTCCACGTCCATGTCCACGTCCACGTCCACGTCCACGTCCATGTCCACGTCCACGTCCACGTCCATGTCCACGTCCACGTCCACGTCCACGTCCATGTCCACGTCCACGTCCACGTCCACGTCCACGTCCACGTCCATGTCCACGTCCACGTCACGTCCACGTCCATGTCCACGTCCACGTCCACGTCCACGTCCACGTCCACGTCCACGTCCACGTCCAGTCACGTCCATGTCCACGTCCACGTCCATGTCCACGTCCACGTCCACGTCCACGTCCACGTCCACGTCCCGTCCATGTCCACGTCCACGTCCACGTCCACGTCCACGTCCACGTCCATGTCCACGTCCACGTCCACGTCCACGTCCACGTCCACGTCCACGTCCACGTCCATGTCCACGTCCACGTCCACGTCCACGTCCACGTCCACGTCCACGTCCACGTCCAGTCCACGTCCACGTCCACGTCCACGTCCACGTCCACGTCCATGTCCACGTCCACGTCCCGTCCACGTCCACGTCCACGTCCATGTCCACGTCCACGTCCTCCACGTCCACGTCCACGTCCACGTCCCACGTCCACGTCCACGTCCACGTCCACGTCCGTCCACGTCCACGTCCACGTCCATGTCCACGTCCACGTCCACGTCCACGTCCACGTCCACGTCCACGTCCACGTCCACGTCCACGTCCACGTCCACGTCCACGTCCACGTCCACGTCCATGTCCACGTCCACGTCCACGTCCACGTCCATGTCCACGTCCATGTCCACGTCCACGTCCACGTCCACGTCCATGTCCACGTCCACGTCCACGTCCACGTCCACGTCCACGTCCACGTCCACGTCCACGTCCACGTCCACGTCCACGTCCACGTCCACGTCCACGTCCACGTCCACGTCCACGTCCACGTCCACGTCCACGTCCACGTCCACGTCCATGTCCACGTCCACGTCCACGTCCATGTCCACGTCCAGTCCAGTCCACGTCCACGTCCACGTCCACGTCCACGTCCACGTCCATGTCCACGTCCACGTCCACGTCCACGTCCATGTCCACGTCCACGTCCACGTCCACGTCCACGTCCACGTCCACGTCCACGTCCACGTCCATGTCCACGTCCATGTCCACGTCCACGTCCACGTCCACGTCCACGTCCACGTCCATGTCCACGTCCATGTCCACGTCCACGTCCGTCCAGTCCACGTCCATGTCCACGTCCACGTCCACGTCCATGTCCACGTCCAGTCCACGTCCACGTCCACGTCCACGTCCACGTCCACGTCCATGTCCACGTCCACGTCCACGTCCATGTCCACGTCCACGTCCACGTCCACGTCCACGTCCACGTCCATGTCCACGTCACGTCCACGTCCACGTCCACGTCCACGTCCACGTCCACGTCCACGTCCACGTCCACGTCCACGTCCACGTCCACGTCCACGTCCACGTCCAGTCCACGTCCACGTCCACGTCCACGTCCACGTCCATGTCCACGTCCACGTCCACGTCCACGCCATGTCCACGTCCATGTCCACGTCCATGTCCACGTCCACGTCCACGTCCACGTCCACGTCCACGTCCACGTCCACGTCCACGTCCACGTCCACGTCCACGTCCACGTCCACGTCCATGTCCACGTCCACGTCCACGTCCACGTCCACGTCCACGTCCACGTCCACGTCCACGTCCATGTCCACGTCCACGTCCACGTCCACGTCCACGTCCACGTCCATGTCCACGTCCACGTCACGTCCACGTCCACGTCCAGTCCACGTCCACGTCCACGTCCACGTCCACGTCCACGTCCACGTCCACGTCCATGTCCACGTCCACGTCCACGTCATGTCCCGTCCATGTCCACGTCCACGTCCACGTCCACGTCCACGTGTCCAGTCCACGTCCACGTCCATGTCCACGTCCACGTCCACGTCCACGTCCACGTCCACGTCCATGTCCACGTCCACGTCCACGTCCACGTCCACGTCCAGTCCACGTCCACGTCCACGTCCACGTCCACGTCCATGTCCACGTCCACGTCCACGTCCATGTCCACGTCCACGTCCACGTCCACGTCCATGTCCACGTCCACGTCCACGTCCACGTCCACGTCCACGTCCATGTCCACGTCCACGTCCACGTCCACGTCCACGTCCACGTCCACGTCCACGTCCACGTCCACGTCCACGTCCACGTCCACGTCCACGTCCACGTCCACACGTCCACGTCCACGTCCACGTCCACGTCCACGTCCACGTCCACGTCCACGTCCACGTCCACGTCCACGTCCACGTCCACGTCCACGTCCACGTCCACGTCCACGTCCACGTCCCACGTCCATGTCCACGTCCACGTCCAGTCCACGTCCACGTCCACGTCCACGTCCACGTCCACGTCCACGTCCACGTCCACGTCCACGTCCACGTCCACGTCCACGTCCACGTCCACGTCCACGTCCACGTCCACGTCCACGTCCATGTCCACGTCCACGTCCACGTCCACGTCCATGTCCACGTCCACGTCCACGTCCACGTCCACGTCCACGTCCACGTCCATTCCCGTCCACGTCCACGTCCACGTCCACGTCCACGTCCATGTCCACGTCCACGTCCACGTCCATGTCCACGTCCATGTCCACGTCCACGTCCATGTCCACGTCCACGTCCACGTCCATGTCCACGTCCACGTCCACGTCCATGTCCACGTCCACGTCCACGTCCACGTCCACGTTCCACGTCCACGTCCACGTCCACGTCCACGTCCATGTCCACGTCCATGTCCACGTCCATGTCCACGTCCATGTCCACGTCCACGTCCACGTCCACGTCCACGTCCATGTCCACGTCCACGTCCACGTCCACGTCCATGTCCACGTCCACGTCCACGTCCATGTCCACGTCCACGTCCACGTCCACGTCCATGTCCACGTCCACGTCCACGTCCATGTCCACGTCCACGTCCATGTCCACGTCCACGTCACGTCCACGTCCATGTCCACGTCCACGTCCACGTCCACGTCCACGTCCACGTCCATGTCCACGTCCACGTCCACGTCCATGTCCACGTCCACGTCCACGTCCGTCCCGTCCATGTCCACGTCCACGTCCACGTCCACGTCCACGTCCACGTCCAACACGTCCACGTCCATGTCCATGTCCACGTCCACGTCCACGTCCACGTCCATGTCCACGTCCACGTCCACGTCCACGTCCACGTCCATGTCCACGTCCACGTCCACGTCCACGTCCACGTCCACGTCCACGTCCACGTCCACGTCCACGTCCACGTCCACGTCCACGTCCACGTCCACGTCCACGTCCACGTCCACGTCCACGTCCACGTCCATGTCCACGTCCACGTCCACGTCCATGTCCACGTCCACGTCCTCCACGTCCACGTCCACGTCCGTCCACGTCCACGTCCACGTCCACGTCCACGTCCACGTCCGTCCACGTCCACGTCCACGTCCATGTCCACGTCCACGTCCACGTCCACGTCCACGTCCATGTCCACGTCCACGTCCATGTCCACGTCCATGTCCACGTCCATCGTCCACGTCCTCCACGTCCACGTCCACGTCCATGTCCACGTCCACGTCCACGTCCACGTCCATGTCCACGTCCACGTCCACGTCCACGTCCACGTCCACGTCCACGTCCACGTCCACGTCCACGTCCACGTCCACGTCCAGTCCACGTCCACGTCCACGTCCACGTCCACGTCACGTCCACGTCCACGTCCACGTCCACGTCCACGTCCATGTCCACGTCCACGTCCACGTCCACGTCCATGTCCACGTCCACGTCCACGTCCACGTCCACGTCCACGTCCACGTCCACGTCCATGTCCACGTCCACGTCCACGTCCACGTCCACGTCCACGTCCATGTCCACGTCCATGTCCACGTCCACGTCCACGTCCACGTCCAGTCCACGTCCATGTCCACGTCCACGTCCACGTCCACGTCCACGTCCATGTCCACGTCCACGTCCACGTCCACGTCCACGTCCATGTCCACGTCCACGTCCACGTCCACGTCCACGTCCACGTCCACGTCCACGTCCATGTCCACGTCCAGTCCATGTCCACGTCCACGTCATGTCCACGTCCACGTCCACGTCCATGTCCACGTCCACGTCCACGTCCACGTCCACGTCACGTCCACGTCCACGTCCACGTCCACGTCCACGTCCACGTCCACGTCCACGTCCACGTCCACGTCCACGTCCACGTCCACGTCCAATCCACGTCCACGTCCACGTCCACGTCCACGTCCACGTCCATGTCCACGTCCACGTCCATGTCCACGTCCATGTCCACGTCCACGTCCACGTCCATGTCCACGTCCACGTCCACGTCCACGTCCACGTCCACGTCCATGTCCACGTCCACGTCCACGTCCATGTCCACGTCCACGTCCACGTCCACGTCCAGTCCATGTCCACGTCCACGTCCATGTCCACGTCCACGTCCACGTCCACGTCCATGTCCACGTCCACGTCCACGTCCATGTCCACGTCCACGTCCATGTCCACGTCCACGTCCACGTCCACGTCCACGTCCATGTCCACGTCCACGTCCACGTCCACGTCCACGTCCACGTCCACGTCACGTCCACGTCCACGTCCACGTCCACGTCCACGTCCACGTCCACGTCCACGTCCACGTCCACGTCCATTCACGTCCACGTCCACGTCCATGTCCACGTCCACGTCCACGTCCACGTCCATGTCCACGTCCATGTCCACGTCCATGTCCACGTCACGTCCACGTCCATGTCCCGTCCCGTCCACGTCCACGTCCACGTCCACGTCCATGTCCACGTCCACGTCCACGTCCATGTCCACGTCCACGTCCACGTCCACGTCCATGTCCACGTCACGTCCATGTCCACGTCCACGTCCACGTCCACGTCCACGTCCACGTCCACGTCCACGTCCACGTCCACGTCCACGTCCACGTCCACGTCCACGTCCACGTCCACGTCCACGTCCACGTCCACGTCCATGTCCACGTCCACGTCCACGTCCATGTCCACGTCCACGTCCACGTCCACGTCCATGTCCACGTCCACGTCCACGTCCATGTCCACGTCCACGTCCACGTCCACGTCCACGTCCACGTCCACGTCCACGTCCACGTCCATGTCCACGTCCACGTCCACGTCCATGTCCACGTCCACGTCCACGTCCACGTCCACGTCCACGTCCACGTCCATGTCCACGTCCACGTCCACTCCACGTCCACGTCCACGTCCACGTCCACGTCCACGTCCACGTCCACGTCCACGTCCACGTCCATGTCCACGTCCACGTCCACGTCCACGTCCATGTCCACGTCCACGTCCACGTCCACGTCCACGTCCACGTCCATGTCCACGTCCACGTCCACGTCCACGTCCATGTCCACGTCCACGTCCACGTCCACGTCCACGTCCACGTCCACGTCCATGTCCACGTCCACGTCCATGTCCACGTCCACGTCCACGTCCACGTCCACATGTCCACGTCCACGTCCACGTCATGTCCATGTCCACGTCCATGTCCACGTCCACGTCCACGTCCACGTCCATGTCCACGTCCACGTCCATGTCCACGTCCACGTCGTCCACGTCCACGTCCACGTCCACGTCCACGTCCACGTCCACGTCCACGTCCACGTCCACGTCCACGTCCACGTCCACGTCCACGTCCACGTCCACGTCCACGTCCATGTCCACGTCCACGTCCACGTCCACGTCCACGTCCACGTCCACGTCCACGTCCACGTCCATGTCCACGTCCATGTCCGTCACGTCCACGTCCACGTCCACGTCCTCCACGTCCACGTCCACGTCCACGTCCACGTCCCACGTCCACGTCCACGTCCATGTCCACGTCCACGTCCACGTCCACGTCCACGTCCACGTCCACGTCCACGTCCACGTCCACGTCCATGTCCACGTCCATGTCACGTCCACGTCCACGTCCACGTCCATGTCCACGTCCACGTCCACGTCCACGTCCATGTCCACGTCCAATGTCCACGTCCACGTCCACGTCCACGTCCACGTACGTCCACGTCCACGTCCACGTCCACGTCCACGTCCACGTCCACGTCCACGTCCACGTCCACGTCCATGTCCACGTCCACGTCCATGTCCACGTCCACGTCCTCCACGTCCACGTCCACGTCCGTCCACGTCCACGTCCATGTCCACGTCCACGTCCACGTCCATGTCCATGTCCACGTCCACGTCCACGTCCACGTCCACGTCCACGTCACGTCCATGTCGTCCACGTCCACGTCCACGTCCATGTCCACGTCCACGTCCACGTCCACGTCCATGTCCACGTCCACGTCCACGTCCACGTCCACGTCCACGTCCACGTCCATGTCCACGTCCACGTCCATGTCCATGTCCACGTCCACGTCCACGTCCACGTCCACGTCCACGTCCATGTCCACGTCCACGTCCACGTCCACGTCCATGTCCACGTCCACGTCCACGTCCACGTCCACGTCCACGTCCACGTCCACGTCCACGTCCACGTCCACGTCCATGTCCACGTCCACGTCCACGTCCACGTCCATGTCCACGTCCATGTCCACGTCCACGTCCACGTCCACGTCCACGTCCACGTCCACGTCCACGTCCACGTCCACGTCCACGTCCACGTCCATGTCCACGTCCACGTCCACGTCCACGTCCATGTCCACGTCCACGTCCACGTCCATGTCCACGTCACGTCCATGTCCATGTCCACGTCCATGTCCACGTCCATGTCCACGTCCACGTCCACGTCCACGTCCATGTCCACGTCCATGTCCACGTCCACGTCCACGTCCACGTCCACGTCACGTCCACGTCCACGTCCACGTCCACGTCACGTCCACGTCCACGTCCACGTCCACGTCCACGTCCACGTCCACGTCCATGTCCACGTCCACGTCCACGTCCACGTCCATGTCCACGTCCACGTCCACGTCCATGTCCACGTCCACGTCCACGTCCATGTCCACGTCCAGTCCACGTCCATGTCCACGTCCACGTCCACGTCCACGTCCACGTCCACGTCCACGTCCACGTCCACGTCCACGTCCACGTCCACGTCCACGTCCACGTCCACGTCCACGTCCACGTCCATGTCCACGTCCATGTCCACGTCCATGTCCACGTCCACGTCCACGTCCACGTCCACGTCCACGTCCACGTCCACGTCCACGTCCACGTCCACGTCCACGTCCACGTCCACGTCCACGTCCACGTCCACGTCCACGTCCACGTCCACGTCCACGTCCACGTCCATGTCCACGTCCACGTCCATGTCCACGTCCACGTCCACGTCCACGTCCACGTCCACGTCCACGTCCATGTCCACGTCCACGTCCACGTCCACGTCCATTCCACGTCCACGTCCATGTCCACGTCCATGTCCACGTCCACGTCCATGTCCACGTCCATGTCCACGTCCACGTCCACGTCCACGTCCATGTCCACGTCCACGTCCACGTCCATGTCCACGTCCACGTCCACGTCCACGTCCATGTCCACGTCCATGTCCAGTCCACGTCCACGTCCACGTCCATGTCCACGTCCACGTCCACGTCCAGTCGTCCACGTCCACGTCCATGTCCACGTCCACGTCCACGTCCACGTCCAACCTCCACGTCCACGTCCGTCCACGTCCACGTCCACGTCCACGTCCACGTCCCTCCACGTCCACGTCCACGTCCATGTCCACGTCCACGTCCACGTCCATGTCCACGTCCACGTCCATGTCCACGTCCATCCACGTCCATGTCCACGTCCACGTCCACGTCCACGTCCATGTCCACGTCCACGTCCAGTCCAGTCCACGTCCATGTCCACGTCCACGTCCACGTCCACGTCCACGTCCACGTCCACGTCCACGTCCACGTCCACGTCCACGTCCATGTCCACGTCCACGTCCACGTCCACGTCCACGTCCACGTCCACGTCCACGTCCATGTCCACGTCCACGTCCACGTCCATGTCCACGTCCACGTCCACGTCCACGTCCATGTCCACGTCCACGTCCACGTCCATGTCCACGTCCACGTCCACGTCCACGTCCATGTCCACGTCCACGTCCACGTCCACGTCCATGTCCACGTCCATGTCCACGTCCACGTCCACGTCCACGTCCACGTCCATGTCCACGTCCATGTCCACGTCCACGTCCACGTCCACGTCCACGTCCACATTCCCACGTCCACGTCCATGTCCACGTCCACGTCCATGTCCATGTCCACGTCCACGTCCACGTCCACGTCCACGTCCACGTCCACGTCCATGTCCACGTCCATGTCCACGTCCACGTCCACGTCCACGTCCACGTCCACGTCCACGTCCACGTCCACGTCCACGTCCACGTCCACGTCCACGTCCACGTCCATGTCCACGTCCACGTCCACGTCCATGTCCATGTCCACGTCCACGTCCACGTCCATGTCCACGTCCACGTCCACGTCCAGTCCATGTCCACGTCCACGTCCACGTCCATGTCCACGTCCACGTCCACGTCCACGTCCACGTCCACGTCCATGTCCACGTCCATGTCCACGTCCACGTCCATGTCCACGTCCACGTCCACGTCCACGTCCATGTCCACGTCCACGTCCATGTCCACGTCCATGTCCACGTCCACGTCCACGTCCACGTCCATGTCCACGTCCACGTCCACGTCCAGTCCACGTCCACGTCCACGTCCATGTCCACGTCCACGTCCACGTCCACGTCCACGTCCACGTCCATGTCCACGTCCACGTCCACGTCCATGTCCACGTCCACGTCCACGTCCACGTCCACGTCCACGTCCACGTCCACGTCCTCCACGTCCACGTCCACGTCCTCCACGTCCACGTCCAGTCCACGTCCGTCCACGTCCACGTCCACGTCCATGTCCACGTCCACGTCCACGTCCACGTCCATGTCCACGTCCACGTCCATGTCCACGTCCATGTCCACGTCCATGTCCACGTCCACGTCCACGTCCACGTCCATGTCCACGTCCACGTCCACGTCCACGTCCATGTCCACGTCCATGTCCACGTCCACGTCCATGTCCACGTCCACGTCCACGTCCACGTCCACGTCCACGTCCACGTCCACGTCCACGTCCAGTCCACGTCCACGTCCACGTCCACGTCCACGTCCACGTCCACGTCCACGTCCACGTCCACGTCCACGTCCACGTCCACGTCCACGTCCACGTCCATGTCCACGTCCACGTCCACGTCCACGTCCATGTCCACGTCCACGTCCACGTCCACGTCCATGTCCACGTCCATGTCCACGTCCACGTCCATGTCCACGTCCATGTCCACGTCCACGTCCACGTCCATGTCCACGTCCATGTCCACGTCCACGTCCACGTCCACGTCCACGTCCACGTCCACGTCCATGTCCACGTCCACGTCCACGTCCACGTCCACGTCCACGTCCATGTCCACGTCCACGTCCACGTCCACGTCCACGTCCACGTCCACGTCCATGTCCACGTCCACGTCCACGTCCACGTCCAGTCCACGTCCACGTCCACGTCCACGTCCACGTCCACGTCCACGTCCACGTCCACGTCCACGTCCACGTCCACGTCCACGTCCACGTCCACGTCCACGTCCACGTCCACGTCCACGTCCATGTCCACGTCCATGTCCACGTCCACGTCCACGTCCACGTCCACGTCCACGTCCACGTCCACGTCCACGTCCACGTCCACGTCCACGTCCATGTCCACGTCCACGTCCACGTCCATGTCCACGTCCACGTCCACGTCCACGTCCATGTCCACGTCCACGTCCACGTCCACGTCCACGTCCACGTCCACGTCCACGTCCATGTCCACGTCCACGTCCACGTCCACGTCCATGTCCAGTCCATGTCCACGTCCATGTCCACGTCCACGTCCACGTCCACGTCCACGTCCACGTCCATGTCCACGTCCACGTCCACGTCCACGTCCACGTCCACGTCCACGTCCATGTCCACGTCCACGTCCACGTCCACGTCCATGTCCACGTCCACGTCCACGTCCATGTCCACGTCCACGTCCACGTCCAGTCCACGTCCACGTCCACGTCCACGTCCATGTCCACGTCCACGTCCATGTCCACGTCCATGTCCACGTCCACGTCCACGTCCACGTCCACGTCCACGTCCATGTCCACGTCCACGTCCACGTCCATGTCCACGTCCACGTCCATGTCCACGTCCATGTCCACGTCCACGTCCATGTCCACGTCCACGTCCACGTCCACGTCCATGTCCACGTCCACGTCCACGTCCATGTCCCACGTCCACGTCCACGTCCACGTCCACGTCCACGTCCATGTCCACGTCATGTCCACGTCCACGTCCACGTCCACGTCCATGTCCACGTCCACGTCCACGTCCATGTCCACGTCCACGTCCATGTCCACGTCCATGTCCACGTCCACGTCCACGTCCATGTCCACGTCCATGTCCACGTCCATGTCCACGTCCACGTCCACGTCCACGTCCATGTCCACGTCCACGTCCACGTCCATGTCCACGTCCACGTCCATGTCCACGTCCACGTCCATGTCCACGTCCACGTCCACGTCCACGTCCACGTCCACGTCCACGTCCACGTCCACGTCCACGTCCACGTCCACGTCCACGTCCACGTCCACGTCCACGTCCACGTCCACGTCCACGTCCACGTCCACGTCCATGTCCACGTCCACGTCCACGTCCATGTCCATGTCCACGTCCCGTCCACGTCCACGTCCACGTCCACGTCCACGTCCATGTCCACGTCCATGTCCACGTCCACGTCCACGTCCACGTCCATGTCCACGTCCACGTCCACGTCCATGTCCACGTCCACGTCCACGTCCAGTCCACGTCCACGTCCATGTCCACGTCCACGTCCATGTCCACGTCCACGTCCACGTCCACGTCCCACGTCCACGTCCACGTCCACGTCCACGTCCACGTCCACGTCCACGTCCACGTCCACGTCCACGTCCACGTCCACGTCCATGTCCACGTCCATGTCCACGTCCACGTCCATGTCCACGTCCACGTCCACGTCCACGTCCATGTCCACGTCCACGTCCACGTCCATGTCCACGTCCACGTCCACGTCCACGTCCACGTCCATGTCCACGTCCATGTCCACGTCCACGTCCACGTCCATGTCCATGTCCACGTCCACGTCCACGTCCATGTCCACGTCCACGTCCACGTCCATGTCCACGTCCATGTCCACGTCCACGTCCACGTCCAGTCCATGTCCACGTCCACGTCCACGTCCATGTCCACGTCCACGTCCACGTCCACGTCCACGTCCACGTCCACGTCCACGTCCACGTCCACGTCCACGTCCACGTCCACGTCCATGTCCACGTCCACGTCCACGTCCACGTCCACGTCCACGTCCATGTCCACGTCCACGTCCACGTCCATGTCCACGTCCACGTCCACGTCCATGTCCACGTCCACGTCCACGTCCACGTCCATGTCCACGTCCCACTGTCCACGTCCATGTCCATGTCCACGTCCACGTCCACGTCCACGTCCATGTCCACGTCCATGTCCATGTCCACGTCCACGTCCACGTCCACGTCCACGTCCACGTCCACGTCCACGTCCAGTCCACGTCCACGTCCACGTCCACGTCCACGTCCACGTCCACGTCCACGTCCATGTCCACGTCCACGTCCACGTCCACGTCCACGTCCACGTCCACGTCCACGTCCACGTCCACGTCCACGTCCTCCACGTCCACGTCCACGTCCACGTCCCACGTCCACGTCCACGTCCACGTCCACGTCCGTCCACGTCCACGTCCACGTCCATGTCCACGTCCACGTCCACGTCCACGTCCACGTCCACGTCCATGTCCACGTCCACGTCCATGTCCACGTCCATGTCCACGTCCATGTCCACGTCCATGTCCACGTCCACGTCCACGTCCACGTCCACGTCCACGTCCATGTCCACGTCCACGTCCACGTCCACGTCCACGTCCACGTCCACGTCCACGTCCACGTCCACGTCCACGTCCACGTCCACGTCCACGTCCACGTCCATGTCCACGTCCACGTCCACGTCCATGTCCACGTCCACGTCCACGTCCACGTCCATGTCCACGTCCACGTCCACGTCCATGTCCACGTCCATGTCCACGTCCACGTCCACGTCCACGTCCACGTCCACGTCCACGTCCATGTCCACGTCCATGTCCACGTCCACGTCCACGTCCATGTCCACGTCCACGTCCACGTCCACGTCCACGTCCACGTCCACGTCCACGTCCACGTCCACGTCCACGTCCACGTCCACGTCCACGTCCACGTCCATGTCCACGTCCATGTCCACGTCCACGTCCACGTCCACGTCCACGTCCACGTCCATGTCCACGTCCAACGTCCACGTCCACGTCCACGTCCACGTCCGTCCACGTCCACGTCCACGTCCACGTCCACGTCCCACGTCCACGTCCACGTCCATGTCCACGTCCACGTCCACGTCCACGTCCACGTCCATGTCCACGTCCACGTCCACGTCCACGTCCATGTCCACGTCCATGTCCACGTCCATCCACGTCCACGTCCACGTCCACGTCCACGTCCACGTCCATGTCCACGTCCACGTCCACGTCCACGTCCACGTCCACGTCCACGTCCCGTCCACGTCCACGTCCACGTCCACGTCCACGTCCATGTCCACGTCCACGTCCACGTCCATGTCCACGTCCACGTCCACGTCCACGTCCATGTCCACGTCCACGTCCACGTCCACGTCCATGTCCACGTCCCGTCCACGTCCATGTCCACGTCCATGTCCACGTCCATGTCCACGTCCACGTCCATGTCCACGTCCATGTCCATGTCCACGTCCACGTCCACGTCCACGTCCATGTCCACGTCCACGTCCACGTCCACGTCCACGTCCACGTCCACGTCCACGTCCACGTCCACGTCCATGTCCATGTCCACGTCCACGTCCACGTCCACGTCCACGTCCACGTCCACGTCCATGTCCACGTCCACGTCCACGTCCACGTCCACGTCCACGTCCACGTCCACGTCCACGTCCACGTCCACGTCCACGTCCACGTCCACGTCCACGTCCACGTCCACGTCCACGTCACGTCCACGTCCATGTCCACGTCCACGTCCACGTCCACGTCCATGTCCACGTCCACGTCCACGTCCATGTCCACGTCCACGTCCTCCACGTCCACGTCCACGTCCACGTCCACGTCCACGTCCACGTCCACGTCCACGTCCACGTCCATGTCCACGTCCACGTCCACGTCCACGTCCACGTCCACGTCCACGTCCACGTCCGTCCACGTCCACGTCCACGTCCACGTCCACGTCCACGTCCATGTCCACGTCCACGTCCACGTCCACGTCCATGTCCACGTCCATGTCCACGTCCATGTCCACGTCCAGTGTCCACGTCCACGTCCACGTCACGTCGTCCACGTCCACGTCCACGTCCACGTCCACGTCCTCCACGTCCACGTCCACGTCCATGTCCACGTCCACGTCCACGTCCACGTCCATGTCCACGTCCACGTCCACGTCCACGTCCACGTCCACGTCCACGTCCACGTCCACGTCCACGTCCACGTCCATGTCCACGTCCATGTCCACGTCCACGTCCACGTCCACGTCCACGTCCACGTCCACGTCCACGTCCACGTCCACGTCCACGTCCATGTCCATGTCCACGTCCATGTCCACGTCCACGTCCACGTCCATGTCCACGTCCACGTCCATGTCCACGTCCATGTCCATGTCCACGTCCATGTCCACGTCCACGTCCATGTCCACGTCCACGTCCACGTCCACGTCCACGTCCACGTCCATGTCCACGTCCACGTCCACGTCCACGTCCATGTCCACGTCCACGTCCATGTCCACGTCCACGTCCACGTCCATGTCCACGTCCACGTCCACGTCCATGTCCATGTCCACGTCCACGTCCACGTCCACGTCCATGTCCACGTCCACGTCCAGTCCACGTCCACGTCCACGTCCATGTCCACGTCCACGTCCACGTCCACGTCCACGTCCACGTCCACGTCCACGTCCATGTCCACGTCCACGTCCACGTCCACGTCCACGTCCATGTCCACGTCCACGTCCACGTCCACGTCCACGTCCATGTCCACGTCCACGTCCACGTCCATGTCCACGTCCACGTCCACGTCCACGTCCACGTCCACGTCCACGTCCATGTCCACGTCCATGTCCACGTCCACGTCCATGTCCACGTCCACGTCCACGTCCACGTCCACGTCCACGTCCACGTCCACGTCCACGTCCACGTCCACGTCCACGTCCACGTCCACGTCACGTCCACGTCCACGTCCACGTCCACGTCCACGTCCACGTCCACGTCCATGTCCACGTCCACGTCCACGTCCACGTCCATGTCCACGTCCACGTCCACGTCCATGTCCACGTCCACGTCCACTCCACGTCCACGTCCACGTCACGTCCACCACCCCATGTCCACGTCCACGTCCACGTCCAGTCCCACGTCCACGTCCACGTCCATGTCCACGTCCACGTCCACGTCCACGTCCACGTCCACGTCCACGTCCACGTCCATGTCCACGTCCATGTCCACGTCCATGTCCACGTCCGTCCACGTCCACGTCCACGTCCACGTCCATGTCCACGTCCATGTCCACGTCCACGTCCACGTCCACGTCCACGTCCACGTCCACGTCCACGTCCATGTCCACGTCCACGTCCACGTCCACGTCCACGTCCATGTCCACGTCCACGTCCACGTCCATGTCCACGTCCACGTCCACGTCCACGTCCATGTCCACGTCCACGTCCACGTCCACATACACGTCCACGTCCACGTCCATGTCCACGTCCATGTCCACGTCCACGTCCACGTCCACGTCCACGTCCATGTCCACGTCCATGTCCACGTCCACGTCCACGTCCACGTCCACGTCCATCCACGTCCACGTCCACGTCCACGTCCATGTCCATGTCCACGTCCATGTCCCGTCCACGTCCACGTCCATGTCCACGTCCACGTCCACGTCCACGTCCACGTCCACGTCCATGTCCTGTCACGTCCACGTCCACGTCCACGTCCACGTCCACGTCCACGTCCACGTCCATGTCCACGTCCACGTCCACGTCCACGTCCACGTCCATGTCCACGTCCATGTCCACGTCCACGTCCACGTCCACGTCCACGTCCACGTCCACGTCCACGTCCACGTCCACGTCACACGTCCACGTCCATGTCCACGTCCACGTCCACGTCCACGTCCACGTCCTCCACGTCCACGTCCACGTCCACGTCCACGTCCTCCACGTCCACGTCCACGTCCACGTCCACGTCCACGTCCAGTCCACGTCCATGTCCACGTCCACGTCCACGTCCACGTCCATGTCCACGTCCACGTCCACGTCCAGTCCACGTCCACGTCCACGTCCACGTCCATGTCCACGTCCACGTCCACGTCCACGTCCACGTCCACGTCCACGTCCACGTCCACGTCCACGTCCACGTCCACGTCCACGTCCACGTCCACGTCCACGTCCATGTCCACGTCCACGTCCACGTCCATGTCCACGTCCACGTCCACGTCCACGTCCAGTCCACGTCCACGTCCACGTCCACGTCCATGTCCACGTCCACGTCCACGTCCACGTCCATGTCCACGTCCATGTCCACGTCCACGTCCATGTCCACGTCCATGTCCACGTCCACGTCCACGTCCACGTCCACGTCCATGTCCACGTCCACGTCCACGTCCACGTCCACAGTCCACGTCCACGTCCATGTCCACGTCCACGTCCACGTCCATGTCCACGTCCATGTCCACGTCCACGTCCACGTCCACGTCCAGTCCATTCCACGTCCACGTCCACGTCCACGTCCATGTCCACGTCCACGTCCACGTCCACGTCCACGTCCACGTCCACGTCCACGTCCACGTCCACGTCCACGTCCACGTCCACGTCCACGTCCACGTCCACGTCCACGTCCATGTCCACGTCCACGTCCACGTCCACGTCCACGTCCACGTCCATGTCCACGTCCAGTCCTCCACGTCCACGTCCACGTCGTCCACGTCCACGTCCACGTCCACGTTCCACGTCCACGTCCACGTCCATGTCCACGTCCACGTCCATGTCCACGTCCACGTCCATGTCCACGTCCACGTCCCACGTCCACGTCCACGTCCATGTCCACGTCCACGTCACGTCCAGTCCACGTCCACGTCCATGTCCACGTCCATCCACGTCACTCCACGTCCATGTCCACGTCCACGTCCACGTCCATGTCCACGTCCAGTCCACGTCCACGTCCACGTCCACGTCGTCCACGTCCACGTCCACGTCCACGTCCACGTCCACGTCCACGTCCACGTCCATGTCCACGTCCACGTCCACGTCCACGTCCACGTCCACGTCCACGTCCACGTCCACGTCCACGTCCCGTCCACGTCCACGTCCACGTCCACGTCCATGTCCACGTCCACGTCCACGTCCATGTCCACGTCCACGTCCACGTCCACGTCCACGTCCACGTCCACGTCCACGTCCATGTCCACGTCCACGTCCATGTCCACGTCCACGTCCACGTCCATGTCCACGTCCACGTCCATGTCCACGTCCACGTCCACGTCCACGTCCATGTCCACGTCCACGTCCATGTCCACGTCCACGTCCACGTCCACGTCACGTCCATGTCCACGTCCACGTCCACGTCCACGTCCACGTCCATGTCCACGTCCATGTCCACGTCCACGTCCACGTCCATGTCCACGTCCACGTCCACGTCCACGTCCATGTCCACGTCCACGTCCACGTCCACGTCCACGTCCACGTCCACGTCCACGTCCACGTCCACGTCCACGTCCATGTCCACGTCCACGTCCACGTCCACGTCCACGTCCACGTCCACGTCCACGTCCACGTCCACGTCCACGTCCACGTCCACGTCCACGTCCACGTCCACGTCCCGTCCACGTCCACGTCCACGTCCATGTCCACGTCCATGTCCACGTCCACGTCCACGTCCATGTCCACGTCCACGTCCACGTCCACGTCCATGTCCACGTCCACGTCCACGTCCACGTCCACGTCCACGTCCACGTCCACGTCCACGTCCACGTCCACGTCCACGTCCATGTCCACGTCCATGTCCACGTCCACGTCCACGTCCACGTCCACGTCCATGTCCACGTCCACGTCCACGTCCACGTCCATGTCCACGTCCACGTCCACGTCCATGTCCACGTCCACGTCCACGTCCACGTCCACGTCCACGCCATGTCCACGTCCATGTCCACGTCCACGTCCACGTCCACGTCCATGTCCACGTCCATGTCCACGTCCACGTCCACGTCCACGTCCACGTCCATGTCCACGTCCACGTCCACGTCCACGTCCATGTCCACGTCCACGTCCACGTCCACGTCCACGTCCACGTCCACGTCCACGTCCATGTCCACGTCCATGTCCACGTCCACGTCCATGTCCACGTCCACGTCCACGTCCACGTCCATGTCCACGTCCATGTCCACGTCCACGTCCACGTCCACGTCCACGTCCACGTCCACGTCCACGTCCACGTCCACGTCCATGTCCACGTCCACGTCCACGTCCACGTCCATGTCCACGTCCACGTCCACGTCCACGTCCACGTCCACGTCCACGTCCACGTCCATGTCCACGTCCACGTCCACGTCCACGTCCACGTCCACGTCCACGTCCACGTCCACGTCCACGTCCACGTCCACGTCCACGTCCATGTCCACGTCCACGTCCACGTCCATGTCCACGTCCACGTCCACGTCCACGTCCACGTCCATGTCCACGTCCATGTCCACGTCCACGTCCACGTCCATGTCCATGTCCACGTCCATGTCCACGTCCACGTCCACGTCCACGTCCACGTCCATGTCCACGTCCATGTCACGTCCACGTCCACGTCCATGTCCACGTCCACGTCCACGTCCACGTCCACGTCCACGTCCACGTCCACGTCCAGTCCACGTCCACGTCCACGTCCATGTCCACGTCCACGTCCATGTCCACGTCCACGTCCACGTCCACGTCCATGTCCACGTCCACGTCCACGTCCACGTCCACGTCCACGTCCACGTCCACGTCCACGTCACGTCCACGTCCACGTCCACGTCCATGTCCACGTCCACGTCCACGTCCCATGTCCACGTCCATGTCCACGTCCACGTCCACGTCCACGTCCACGTCCACGTCCACGTCCATGTCCACGTCCACGTCCACGTCCACGTCCACGTCCACGTCCACGTCCACGTCCACGTCCACGTCCACGTCCACGTCCACGTCCATGTCCACGTCCACGTCCACGTCCATGTCCACGTCCACGTCCATGTCCCACGTCCACGTCCACGTCCATGTCCACGTCCACGTCCATGTCCACGTCCACGTCCACGTCCACGTCACGTCCACGTCCACGTCCACGTCCACGTCCACGTCCACGTCCACGTCCACGTCCACGTCCACGTCCACGTCCATGTCCACGTCCACGTCCACGTCCACGTCCACGTCCACGTCCACGTCCACGTCCATGTCCACGTCCACGTCCACGTCCACGTCCACGTCCACGTCCATGTCCACGTCCATGTCCACGTCCACGTCCACGTCCACGTCCACGTCCATGTCCACGTCCACGTCCATGTCCACGTCCACGTCCACGTCCACGTCCATGTCCACGTCCATGTCCACGTCCATGTCCACGTCCACGTCCACGTCCACGTCCACGTCCACACGTCCACGTCCACGTCCAGTCCACGTCCACGTCCATGTCCACGTCCACGTCCACGTCCACGTCCATGTCCACGTCCACGTCCACGTCCATGTCCACGTCCACGTCATGTCACGTCCACGTCCACGTCCACGTCCATGTCCACGTCCACGTCCACGTCCACGTCCACGTCCACGTGTCCACGTCCACGTCCACGTCCACGTCCACGTCCACGTCCATGTCCACGTCCACGTCCACGTCCATGTCCACGTCCATGTCCACGTCCACGTCCACGTCCACGTCCACGTCCACGTCCACGTCCACGTCCACGTCCATGTCCACGTCCACGTCCACGTCCACGTCCACGTCCACGTCCACGTCCATGTCCACGTCCATGTCCACGTCCACGTCCACGTCCACGTCCACGTCCACGTCCACGTCCATCGTCACTCCACGTCCACGTCCACGTCCATGTCCACGTCCACGTCCACGTCCATGTCCACGTCCACGTCCACGTCCACGTCCATGTCCACGTCCACGTCCACGTCCATGTCCACGTCCACGTCCATGTCCACGTCCACGTCCACGTCCACGTCATGTCCACGTCCACGTCCACGTCCACGTCCACGTCCACGTCCACGTCCACGTCCGTCCACGTCCACGTCCACGTCCACGTCCATGTCCACGTCCACGTCCACATGTCCACGTCCATGTCCACGTCCATCCACGTCCACGTCCACGTCCATGTCCACGTCCACGTCCACGTCCACGTCCACGTCCACGTCCATGTCCACGTCCACGTCCACGTCCATGTCCACGTCCACGTCCACGTCCACGTCCACGTCCACGTCACGTCCACGTCCACGTCCACGTCCACGTCCACGTCCACGTCCACGTCCACGTCCACGTCCACGTCCACGTCCACGTCCACGTCCACGTCCACGTCCACGTCCATGTCCACGTCCATGTCCACGTCCACGTCCATGTCCACGTCCACGTCCACGTCCATGTCCACGTCCACGTCCCACGTCCACGTCCACGTCCACGTCCTCCACGTCCACGTCCACGTCCACGTCACGTCCTCCACGTCCACGTCCACGTCCACGTCCACGTCCACGTCCACGTCCACGTCCACGTCCATGTCCACGTCCACGTCCATGTCCACGTCCATGTCCACGTCCATGTCCACGTCCACGTCCACGTCCACGTCCATGTCCACGTCCATGTCCACGTCCACGTCCACGTCCATGTCCACGTCCATGTCCACGTCCACGTCCACGTCCACGTCCACGTCCACGTCCACGTCACGTCCACGTCCACGTCCACGTCCACGTCCATGTCCCGTCCACGTCCACGTCCACGTCCACGTCCACGTCCTCCACGTCCACGTCCACGTCCACGTCCACGTCCACGTCCACGTCCACGTCCACGTCCACGTCCATGTCCACGTCCACGTCCAGTCCATGTCCACGTCCACGTCCACGTCCACGTCCATGTCCACCGTCCACGTCCACGTCCACGTCCACGTCCACGTCCACGTCCATGTCCACGTCCATGTCCACGTCCACGTCCACGTCCACGTCCACGTCCATGTCCACGTCCATGTCCACGTCCACGTCCATGTCCACGTCCATGTCCACGTCCACGTCCACGTCCACGTCCACGTCCACGTCCATGTCCACGTCCACGTCCACGTCCATGTCCACGTCCACGTCCACGTCCACGTCCATGTCCACGTCCACGTCCACGTCCACGTCCATGTCCATGTCCACGTCCACGTCCACGTCCATGTCCACGTCCACGTCCACGTCCATGTCCACGTCCATGTCCACGTCCACGTCCACGTCCACGTCCATGTCCACGTCCACGTCCACGTCCATGTCCACGTCCACGTCCACGTCCACGTCCATGTCCACGTCCACGTCCACGTCCATGTCCACGTCCACGTCCACGTCCACGTCCACGTCCATGTCCATGTCCACGTCCATGTCCACGTCCATGTCCACGTCCACGTCCACGTCCATGTCCACGTCCATGTCCACGTCCACGTCCACGTCCACGTCCATGTCCACGTCCGTCCACGTCCACGTCCACGTCCACGTCCATGTCCACGTCCATGTCCACGTCCACGTCCACGTCCACGTCCACGTCCACGTCCACGTCCACGTCCATGTCCACGTCCACGTCCATGTCCACGTCCACGTCCACGTCCACGTCCACGTCCATGTCCACGTCCACGTCCATGTCCACGTCCATGTCCACGTCCATGTCCACGTCCACGTCCACGTCCACGTCCACGTCCACGTCCACGTCCACGTCCATGTCCACGTCCACGTCCACGTCCACGTCCACGTCCACGTCCACGTCCACGTCCATGTCCACGTCCACGTCCACGTCCACGTCCATGTCCACGTCCATGTCCACGTCCACGTCCACGTCCATGTCCACGTCCACGTCCACGTCCACGTCCACGTCCACGTCCACGTCCATGTCCACGTCCACGTCCACGTCCACGTCCACGTCCACGTCCACGTCCACGTCCACGTCCATGTCCACGTCCACGTCCACGTCCACGTCCACGTCCACGTCCATGTCCACGTCCATGTCCACGTCCATGTCCACGTCCACGTCCACGTCCATGTCCACGTCCACGTCCACGTCCACGTCCACGTCCATGTCCACGTCCATGTCCACGTCCATGTCCACGTCCATCTCCACGTCCATGTCCACGTCCATGTCCACGTCCACGTCCATGTCCACGTCCATGTCCACGTCCACGTCCACGTCCATGTCCACGTCCACGTCCATGTCCACGTCCATGTCCACGTCCATGTCCACGTCCACGTCCTCCACGTCCACGTCCACGTCCTCCACGTCCACGTCCTCCACGTCCACGTCCACGTCCATGTCCACGTCCGTCCACGTCCACGTCCATGTCCACGTCCACGTCCACGTCCATGTCACGTCACGTCCACGTCCACGTCCACGTCCACGTCCACGTCCACGTCCATGTCCACGTCCACGTCCATGTCCACGTCCACGTCCATGTCCACGTCCATGTCCACGTCCATGTCCACGTCCACGTCCACGTCCATGTCCATGTCCACGTCCACGTCCACGTCCACGTCCACGTCCACGTCCACGTCCACGTCCACGTCCATGTCCACGTCCACGTCCACGTCCACGTCCATGTCCACGTCCACGTCCACGTCCACGTCCACGTCCACGTCCATGTCCACGTCCACGTCCACGTCCACGTCCACGTCCACGTCCACGTCCACGTCCACGTCCACGTCCACGTCCACGTCCACGTCCACGTCCACGTCCACGTCCATGTCCACGTCCACGTCCACGTCCACGTCCACGTCCACGTCCACGTCCACGTCCACGTCCACGTCCACGTCCATGTCCACGTCCATGTCCACGTCCACGTCCACGTCCACGTCCACGTCCACGTCCACGTCCACGTCCACGTCCACGTCCACGTCCACGTCCACGTCCACGTCCACGTCCACGTCCACGTCCATGTCCACGTCCACGTCCATGTCCACGTCCACGTCCAGTCCACGTCACGTCCACGTCCATGTCCACGTCCACGTCCACGTCCACGTCCAGTCCACGTCCACGTCCACGTCCATGTCCACGTCCACGTCCATGTCCACGTCCATGTCCACGTCCACGTCCACGTCCATGTCCACGTCCACGTCCACGTCCACGTCCATGTCCACGTCCATGTCCACGTCCACGTCCACGTCCACGTCCACCACGTCCACGTCCACGTCCATGTCCACGTCCACGTCCACGTCCACGTCCACGTCCACGTCCACGTCCACGTCCACGTCCACGTCCATGTCCACGTCCACGTCCACGTCCACGTCCACGTCCACGTCCACGTCCACGTCCATGTCCACGTCCACGTCCACGTCCACGTCCATGTCCTGTCCACGTCCATGTCCACGTCCACGTCCACGTCCATGTCCACGTC